AAGGAGGAGAAGCGCGTTTTCTGTGAGGCAAATGGAGGAATCGCAGTCGACTGCTGCAGCGTCCACGACGATCCTAGGAGGGGGCGACCCCCATGGGAGGCGTGGGGGACATAACCCTCTATGAAGGCATCGTGAGGAAACAAAGTGGTGACCTCGCGTGGAAGCGACGGTACTTGTGCATCCGCGGGGCACTCGAAGAGGGTGAGCGCCTGGACGCGGGGAGGATTCCGAGGTTCAAGAGCCTGGACCTCGTGCTGGCTGTGTCGAAGGAGACGATGCGGCAACAGTGCATTGCGACGCCGTTTGCCGAGCTGGAGGACGTGTTCCCCGTTCCGAGCAAGTACACTGGGTCGAATGCGCGGCACGTGTTTGCTGTGGCCTTCAAGACTGGAAAGCGTCTTCTCTTTCAGGCCCGTGGTGATCCTGAGCGGGATGAGTGGATGCAAAAGATCCAGGAGGCGCTCGGAATTGATGACGATGAGTAGCGTTGGTGGGGGGTTGCGCCAATGCTCCAAATGGGCTTATTTCTTTGGGTGTCCTCTCCTAGGCGTTTAGCTTGTGGACGTGCTGTAGGCTTCACTGGGTTTTAAGCGTGATGTATTTGCAGTACATGTTATTGAACACTCGGCGGAGGACCTCGAGTTTGAAAGGTGTTGTGTTTTTTTGGGCCCGTGTGTAATGGCTTGGTGAGTTTGTGGGCGCGTTGTTGACTTTGCGTTTGGACTCCGCGTACTCTGCAATCAGGACCCTTGCACGCCGCCTTGCTGCATTTTTTTGTTGGTTAATGAAAGGGGCAGGCGCGTGGGACTGACCATCGCGGTAGCCGGCACATTTTTGGTTGTGAAAGGCCCCGTGGGGCTTGGGGCGCCCGCTGTCAGACGACATGGCCGGTGGGGGCGTCCCCCCCCCCCCCCGGTGCCGAGGGCCAGTTGGCATCACGATATGCTTTGGTGGTTGTTGTGTCAGCATGGCTTTTGTGCCTCTCCACTGGGCCGCGTAAAGCTCTCAGTGCGCATCGTTGTATAGCTGCCTTGAAAAGGCACTGACATGCGTTATTGAGGTGCTTGCGGCGTGCTCCATGCGCAGGCCTTTGTCTTTGTGGTTTAACTCTCGCACCCTCCCGATAGGATTGGCTAAGAACGAAAAATGGTGTGTGACTTTTGCCTGCATTTGTGCCTGTGCATGTCTGCCACAGTTCAATTGGAAGGACAGGGCAGGTGCTTCGTTGCGGGGTGAGGTGGAGAGAGAAGTGAGGTGGCTCGGGTGTGGGCCTATCGGTATTATGCAATGGCGACGAGCAATTATTATGCTCTCCGAGTCGTCGTTGCGTCCACACTCTACATCTCACCCGTTTATGAGTTTTCGTGTTCTTCTTCTTCCCGTTTTCGGGACCCCCTGCTGTGGCCGCTTGCGCTGAGGGTTGGTGCCGCATCGTCGCGGCCGTCGAAGGCAGCGGCGGGAGAGGCAGAGAGGGTGGGAAAGAGGCAATGACCGGCAACTCAACGGCGACACACTACAAGGCGGTTTTGTCACCAGTGTGTTGGGTTGTTGACATGTCTTTTTTTTTGGTTTTGTTTTTGCTTTTTGGGTCTTTTTACTCCTCCTTGTGGTTTCCCTTTCTTTATGTCCTCTCTCTGTGGCCTTGTTTTTTTTGTTAGTGGCTCGTTCGTCTCTCTGTTGTTCCCCCACGCCGTACCAGCCGCGGGAATGTATTTGTATTTTATTATTGATTCTCTTGCTGCTGCGCCCCCACCCGTTGCTCTCTGCGTGTACTTGATTCCGGTCCAGCAGTGCACGGGCACAGTCATCCGCACACACCGGCCCAAGCCAGCGGGAATGACGCTCTGTGTATGTGCTGGAATTGCCCTGAGTGACTGTGAGCCTCACACGGTAGGGGAGCAGTTGACAGAAAGGGAGAGACGTACAATCTACCGTCAGCAGCATGTGCTGCAACGACACGCACACGCCTGCCAGTGCCATATACACCCTTCTTTTTGTGTGAAGGCCTTTTCCAATTGTGCCTTTGTGTTGATGTCACGGCATGAAACGAGCGAAGGCCATGAACAGAGACGAAGAAAACGAGGATGGGGGCAGGTGGAGTGCAAATAAGAATGCCCGCCCACAGGGATAAAATCAAAGGCTTTGGACACAAGGCAATCCGTCTAATGTCATTTTTATGTGCGTCTGCGTCGACAACGACGAGGCGCCAGTTCCCCACCCATCACCCTTCTGTGTCAATTTCCCCTGAATAAGGCGGTTGCCGCACCCCGGGAGCAAGGAGGAGAGAGTCTCTCCTGTAAACGGCGCAACTAGAACGAGTTTTTACCCGTGTCTCTTTCTTTTCCGAGCGCATAGCACGATGCTCGGTGGAGAGAGGGAGGGGGGAATGCTTCCATTTTTCTCCTTGCTTGTTGTTCTGCCCTATACAGAAGAATACATACACCTGCCGACACACTTTACCGGAGCGAATCGGAGATGCCTTCTAACGACGCGATGATCGCGCGCGTGTGTCGTACCTTCAGCGACGCCTTTGCGATGGACGAAACGGCGGCGAAGGAGCAGGGGAAGAAGTACTGGATCAGCCGAGTTCTGGGCTCCGGTGCGACCGGCACTGTGCTGTGTGCGAAGCGCAAGTCGGATGGGGAGCCTTTCGCCGTTAAGGTTGTGGACATGGAGGGCATGTCGGAGGCCGACAAGAACCGCGCGCAGGCGGAGGTGCACTGTCTGCTGAACTGCGACTTCTTTTCCATCCTGAAGTGCCACGAGGACTTTGCCAAGAAGGACCCTCTAGATGGGGAGAATCTCTTAATGATAGCTCTTGTGCTTGACTACGCGAATGCTGGGGACCTCCGCCAGGAAATCAAGAGCCGTGCCAAGGCGTCCCGAGCATTTCGTGAGCACGAGGCAGGCCTCCTCTTCATTCAAGTCCTCCTTGCGCTTCATCACGTGCACTCGAGACACATGATTCATCGTGACATCAAGACGGCCAATATCCTTCTTTGCAGTAATGGGCTTGTGAAGCTCGGGGACTTTGGCTTCAGGCAAGATGTATTCCGCCACGGTCTCGGGCGACGTCGGCAAGACGTTCTGCGGCACACCGTACTACGTT